TTTATCACAATGACTTTACTTCTGTCCTTTGCTACCATTGCTGTCAAACACAAGGATGTTTCCAGCTACAACTGGAAAGCACTAATGCTTTCAGAGACAAAATGAATGACTACTGAGAAATTAATAGCATTTAAGCCAATAGGATTTTGCTAATGGAGCATGAGTGGCATGTAGAGAACACTACCAAAGCAAAGTTAAAACAGGAATAAAGTGTATGTATAAAGCAAACACACATAATAATTTAAGTTGTCCCTTTATATCATCTGTCATCTGGCTGCATCTGCTCTTACACCTGTGCTCCCTTCCCTGATCTATTCTGATGCCTTGGAAATATTAGGCATCCAGCCAGTTTCACACCCAGCCATTCCTATAATCAGAACCAGCTATCAGTTTGCTTAAAAAAAAAAAATATATATATATATATATATAATCAAGTATCAACCCCAGGGCTCTGAACTACTTCTGACTGACAGGACCAACAGAAAGTTCCAGGCTAATTACTTCTAAGGAATAGTTCTCCCCTTGCAGAGTTACTACTGACCTACTTTTGACTTACTGAGATAATTTATCAGGTAATATAATTAAGGGAGTATAAAGCTGTTTCTAAAGTGAACCGAGTATCAGAAATATTTGCTGAAATCATAAGTTGGTATTCCCACTGCTATCAGATGGGGCTTTATTACTTTGCAATGAGTCAATTTTATTATATTTGACTTATTTATAAGCCATTCTTTTTCTTTATAAATTATATTTGGCAGGATGTATTTGAGAGTCTCTTTGATGTATAAATGTATTAGTTTTGACTCTTTTCAGTCTAGATATAAAGAGAAACAATCTTTTAAGCTTTCCTTTCTTCTTCTCTTACCCCTTCCCCACAAACAGGCATGCATATCTCTTTACTCAGGTGTTTCAATTATTTTTGAAGTCTGTACTAAGTAAAGGACGCCTCTGCTCTGACAGTGGATGTACTGGGGTGTGGACCACTTATTCTGTTGAATTTTAACTCGCTTTTGGAACTTAATCCTTTCCTACATTTAAGCCAATATCTATAATAGAAGAACCTTTTGTAGCAATGGTCTTATTTTCCTATTGAGAAAACCTGACAATTTTCTGAATTTTACAGCCTTGATGTTTTCCATGAGAAGAAAAATATAAGAGAAAAACCTTGAAATGAAATCATAGAACATAAAAGAAGGCCTTATATTAGATTATAAACAATCTGTTTACTCAAAATAAAAGCATTAAAATGATATGTCATTACTATTAAGGTTTATCAGTGCCATCCATTAATTATTATTTTTTCTCCTTTTTTCTACTCTCCTCCCTCACCCTCTCCATTTTATTTATTTTTTCTTCCCCATCTCCAGTATAACTTGCTTCTTAACTCAAAAAATCATCTAACTATGAAAATATGATCAGCTGACTAGGTACTGGCCTTTTAATTCTAATAATGATTTATCTTCATCTTGGAAGCACTTGAGTATCTTTGAGTAACTAGATTTAGCCCTTGTGTCAAAGTGTAAAATATTGATTTCTTAGGCCAGGGTTAAAGAAAGATCAGGAATTAATTTTTAACTTTTGTTTCAATATTGTTAGATATAACTCATCAGTATTTATTCACATCTTATTATTACTTCATACTGCAGGATTGAGGATTTCTATGCATAAGTTTACAGTTGAGTTAGTATCAAAAGAAAAAATGAAACAAAACACTAAATGGTACTCTTTGTTGCCACACAACACATGCAGTATTTTATGTTGGAGAGAGGACCTGGCCAAGGTTTCATCCAAAATCAATAGTGTATCAAACCTCCCGTGATTCAGTGATCATTCTGTTGCCTGGTACTATAGTCAGATAATTCCCCTATTGCTTTCTATCTTATTTTATAGCCTCTTTCATCCCATGCCTGTTTAATTTCATTTATTGCTTTATTCTTGTGTCCTTCAGCTGTTTCCAATCTGCTCTTCATGACCATAACTAAATACAATATGTTAACATGCAAAGGTATTTATATAAATGAAAATCGATGCTCTTATCATTTCGGCATCATTCCTTATTGCTTACCTTGAACATTTTAAATACATTTTATTTAAACACTAACAACTTTTCATTCTTGCCTTGGAAGTCTAATGAGCTTCTTGGCTCCCTGCCCCCACAGTCCTCTAATCTTCACAGCCGTGGCCACTTAGCCCCCATCTGGAGGTACAGACTTATTCTGCATTTTGGAACTAATCTTGTCCCTAGGCTGGAGGCATACATGATATGTAAGCCAAGAGCTAACTGATTCAGCATCCAGTCAGCCTTGCTGGTGGTTTCCTTCTGATCTTGTGATTTATTTCCCGGATCTAGGCTATGCTTCTCCCAGCCCCGTGTAACCAGGGCTTGGCTTTCTACACTGGTTCCAATATCTATTTGGTTTTCCCAATTTCAGTTCTTGATTCGTTTTTTCTGATTGATACCCAATTCCCTCATGGCCGAGGTTCTCCTATATTTTTCTTGTCTCCTTTGTAACTGAACTTCTTTTTCTGAACTTCAGTTCCCACGGCTGGGCCCCATGGCCAACTGCTGAGCCTTTCTGATGGCATTAGCTTGGCCCATATCTCCTCCTGCTGCCTTCATGCCATGGATCTAAACTTTGCAAGACTACCAGGATTAACACTCTGCTTGCCTGGACATTTTCCCACTGCCTGCTGCAGGCATCTACCTAGTTACCAGCTCTAACCCTGCAGGTCTTGACAGTCACTGCAAACATACTGCCTACAATCTGGACATCTCATTATTCCAGACACGACAGAAAAGAAATATTATTTTAATTGCACCTTTGGTTGAATTGTTATGCTAATGGTTTATGGTTACTTCCACCTCACATCTTCATCCTGGTCCTGACACTTAAATCATTGCAAAACTCAGTGTCTAATGTTAAAGTGAAATAATAGAATCTACTACCTATGGTTGTTTTGAAGATAACAGAAAAACTATATACAAATGGAAGAAGCTCATAATAATCAGCCAATAATTTTTAGCTGCTATTATAATCTCATATCTTAAATCTTTGTACCTGGAGGTAGAGCTGTGACACTTAAAGAATGATCATTAAAAAGACAAGGAAGTAGAGAATAGAAATTCTTTAAAAAAATGAGAGACCCATGTGCACTTTTTAAAGTGAAATAATTGACAACATGATAGTTAACACTTTGAAAGATGATGTTGAACTATAGACACAGCAGCAAACATTAGAAACAAATTATTTTAAGGACACATTTTCTATCATGTGTCAATATACATGAGTATGACTACATAAGAGTCCTAAAGCATTTAGGAAGGAGAAGGATTCTTTGAGTTAGCCATTTATTTTAGAGCAATAAGCCCCACTTCTCTGAAATTCTGATTCACTAAGTTTGGGATGGAACTAAATAATTGGCTTGTTTAAAAATTTCCAAAGTGATTTTGGTGATCTCCCATTTGGAAACCATCAATTCATCAGCTATTAAAATACCCAGGATGGTTTTAAGAAAACATACATTATCTCCTGCTGGTCAAAGCAGTGGATAAACCCCAGACTCAGCTTCTAGCTGCCCATTGGGTAGAAGTGTATGACAGGTATGAAAATTCTACCGATGTCGTCTTTTATTAATGGAAGACTATTTCACCTGGCTACTCAATGGCAGTGTTTACCTGTAAGTGCCAAGTTTATCCTGAGAACCCCAGTTTGCCTTGCTGAAATCTTTGCCTTAATTTGCATTAAAAATATTTTAAGTGCAGACTGTTTCAGTACCGCCAAAATTATCTTGTCATAATCTTTTTCCTTGTTTCTCTTAGATGAATCTCCCCATCCGCTCACAAAAGTTTTATAAAAATGATTATTAACTGCTCTAGGCAAATGCAGTGTGCATGCTGAAGAAAACAAGGGGCAGCCAGATGTTTTTCTAAAAGGAGGAGGAAAAAAAAAGAGGAAAGGAAGAGGAGGGGAAGAGAAAGGGAAGAGAGAAGAGAAAAAGAAGGAAAGAGAGATTGCCTCTTTCCATTATTATGACACAAAGAACTCTCTCTGAAGCTTGGGTTGTTCACTTTTTATATGATTAGGATGGGACCAATATACTAGAAGGCTAAAATTTTGGCATTCAAAATAATAAATATCATCCACTATTCGTTCAACAAATCTTTATAGGAGGAGCTGAGCATTACTTGGTGAAAGGGATAAGGCAGATAGCCCAGAGACCACTGTTTGCTCAAACGTTTTACCCAGCGCAGCTATGGGCTCATCTTTGCAGTTACCCAGACCTACTATCTTAGAAATAAGAGTAGCAACTTCTTTGATCTAAGTGTTGGTGCCACCACAAAATTCATATGTTGAAACTGTATCCCCGAAGGTGATGGTATTAGGAGGTGAGACTTTGGGGAGGTGATAAGATCACAGGAGCAGAGCCCTCATGAAGGGGGTCAGTGAGCTTATAAAAGAGGCCCCAAAGAGCTGTTTCACCCTTTTTGCCACATGAGGCTATGGTGAGAAGACAGCTGTTTATGAGGAAGTAGGCCCTCACCTGGCACCAAATCCACCAAAGTCTTGATCTTGGACTTCCCAGCCTTCAGAATCGTGAGAGATAAATGTATGTTGTTAATCAGCTACCCCGCTCATGGCAGTTTGTTACAGCTGTCTGAAAACACTCAGACAGCAAGCATCCATTGCCTCCCACTAATGCTTCTTGAAAGATATTCTACTAAAGAAGATTCTTTTCCATCTGTATCTTAACACTGACAGTTTTGGGAGGTCCTCAGTGACATTTAGGTGTCCCTTATCAAGTCGTGCCATGGATAGCTGCCTGCCTGGCCTGCCTCTTAAACCAATTCCAGAAATTCCTCGCTTTTACTACAACCCTCTTTTCCCCCTTCTGAACTGGAAAAACACTGACAGTGTCCTCTTTTGGAGAATGGTTGATAGAGTAAGAAGAAATCAATCACTCTTATTACTTTTTTTAAAAAAATAAAAATAGCATAGTACCAGACATCCTCAGCATCTTCATCGCATTCGGCACCAAACTGGCAAATGTCACAGGTGGATGTCTCCTTTTGACTAGTTTCTCCAGAGCCTTCGTGGACTGCAGGGCAGAAAAAAAGTAAGCAAAAGGAATTCAGATAAGTGTGCATAATGCCAACAACTCTAAGACAATTCTATATTAAAGCTGCTACTGTCCCAATGGACCTGTTTGCTGTTAGAGCTTCATGAGCATATTATACTCAATTGTTTTCTTACTCCAATTTAAGGACAACTCTAACAATAATATGATACTCCTTGGTATGTAGAGAATGTGTCTGCTTTTTATATGCAAAATCAAACAACAAACAATAGGGTTTACTGGATTTATCAAAATTTCTTGGCTAATAAATAGACCATATGAAAGAGTTATTTAACTAAAAGGGATTTAGATTGTTCCCTCCCTAGAGGAAAAATCTAGTGTATATTTCATGAAAAAAATAGCATTTTCTTCTTCCTAAATGATGGATTTTTTCGTTCAAAGAAGGTCTTCTTGTATAATTAAAAAATTTAGATGGGCAATAAAAATTTAGATATGTCCACTTTTTTTACCTTAAAGCTGTTAAGTACTTATAAAAAATACATATTGATTGTAAGTTTTTAGAAAATAACTTTTACTTGGTTTTTACTGTAAATTCTTAAATCTCACATAAATATTGCACAGAGCTAATTATAGTGATTTCCTCTGAGAGAGTAATGAACATATATTTTATTTTAAAATATATTAAGTCACTGATGATGATTATTGGCTTTATTACTTCCCCCCAAAATTGCAGGTACAAAAATAGGTAATATGTAACCTAATTATGAAATTAACCTTTAAAAATCAGGACACAATAATGTAAATTGAAAAAATTTTCTAGTATTTTGAATGCACTTTTGAGGTTATGGATTACTGTTTACCCAATTAAAAAAATATATGGTTAAAAAAGTAGTTTTATTTGAAAATGAAACATTGCAACAAATGATCATACACTTAAAAAGCGATATTTAAATCAAGAGGATCTTGAAAAAGTGCACTCTTGTAAAGGATCACATATTTTCAACAACAACAACAACAAAAACTCCGTAAGCAATTAAGTACAGCATTGGTTTCTGTCTTTATGAACATTTTTAGCAAAAACAATTTGTTAACATTCACCCTGACAATCTGTCAAATTCAGTCTTACTTATTTTGCTTTAATATGGTATTTCCTTATCATTTTTTTTTGGTAACAAGACAGTTTTTAATATTTACAAAACAAGATCTTCATTCCTTGATTTTCTTTAGTTTACTGCTGTGCAGATGAGTAATCTGATCTATAAAAATATGACAAGAAGACATCTCTAGGAGAGTTCTCTGTTTTATAGCTCTACCAGGAAAGATGGAAAGATTTCTTTTTTCCTAAAACAACAACAATTTTTTTCCCCTGTGCTTGATGATATACACTTAGATTTTTTTTTAAGTTATGAATTAAACAAGTTAACTTCAATAGCAAAAGTATTGATGGTATAGTTTTCAATATCTTTTAAAAAATGGTGTTCCTCCCCTAAAAGAAGAAGAAATTTTAGACTCTGGTAAAATAGACAGCGCCTATCTTATGATCTACTCTATTACTATAATACAGGCACGACCATTAGAGTGGACCACAGGGAGAAGAGGGAAGCTGGGGCTTCACCTCAGGGGAATCTGAACAGCTGAGGTTGGTCTCATTACTTTCTTATTATTAATGCAACACAGAAACTGCTAATGGGAGAGAGCCTTTTAGTGTTAGCAAGATTAGCAACTTCCAGACTAAAACTTCCCATCACTCAGGAAACATCCTCATATATTGGGAAGGCCCTTAATGAACAGTGATAGCCACTTAGGGGCAGCCCCATTTTCTTCAGCAGTCAAGATCCTTGGTTAGGGATCGACTGGAAGCCATCCAAGGATGAATTTTGCTATCTCGGCAGAAATAATAATAATATTTCTACTCAAAGTCACATTACATTTCTATAAAAGGGCAGTTACTGGTAGAATGGAGATGTTTGGAAATTCATAAGGAGAAGCAAATTCAGAAGTAGCAGTGGGAATAAAATCCCTTTATATGAAGTCACTCACAATGAAACATAAAATAAAATCCACATTACTTTAAGCATACATTTGTACATTTGTAATAAACAAATAAACAAACAACTAAATCAGTGCACAACTTTCATTAAACCCTGTAGACCGGTGTTTATTAAATAGAGTCAGGCTCAGAAACTCTGGTAGATTTTTTGTTCATTTATTTATTGACTTAATATAAATGCACTGGAATATCCTTGGAAGTCATTAAGCTTAGTTTGGGGCTTTGATATATATACACACAAAACAGACCATCCCTGGGTAAGAATCTCTGCCCAACAACACCAAGAAAACTTCGTCTGCCCCAAGCACCCTCCTCATGCATTGCCTGGCACAGGACTTTGACACTTTAAAGTGTGCAGGAAGCACCTGGAGGTTTTGTTAAAAATGCAGATTCTCATTCAACAGGTGTAAGGTGTAGCCTCAGGTTCTGCATTTCCTACAAGTCACCAGCTGCTGCTGCTGTTGGTCCATTGGTCCACAGACCACATTGGAGTAGCAAGGATAAGTGCTGTGTTTTTCAAACTTCAACTCACTACCTGTGAACAGGTAATGAAATCAGTGCGTCATAACTTCTGCTTTTGTAAACCTAAAACAGACTAGACTAGACTAGAAAACATCAGAGTGCATCTCATTTAGCAAGTGTATGTTTTATTTTACAACAGTGCTTTTGTTATCCATATGTATGTACATAGAGTTTGCAATATAAATTGCAATTCTTACTAAAGGTCACAGTCACAAAAGCTTGAAAACCATTGACTTAGCATATGTTACATGCTCAGTAAATGTGTGCTAAATTGGACTATTCTTTCTCTTCTTTCTACGTTACCAGAAACGGAAAGATCAGTGCTTATTTGCATTCATATCCTGATTATGCAGGAATAATATTCATTTTTCATAAAGTGTTATCTTAACCATGCATTTACACTTTAAGCCCTTTATTATTTTGAGTTGTGGAATAAAATAATTATTGGCCTTTATTTTGTAGAAACTTAGGTTTTCGCAAGCAATTGAGGGAAATTTGAGGGTCAAGTGATGTGGAGCTAATGAAAGCACATTCTACCTAATATGCTGTTCTAGAGTTAAAACTGATTTAGTCCTTTTAGGGAGATTAAGATTTGGGGATTATAAGGAATGATCAAAATACTTTTTTCTCAAATCTCCCTGCCCTGGTGGTTTCATGTGAAGGTTACTGAAGTTCCTTTCTCACAACCGTGTTCTGGTCCCAAACAGGTCTTCACACTGGTTCCAAATATTGACACACCCACTGAGCCCAGTTCTAACTCACTATCATGCTTCCTGTGCCTCTTAGAACATTCTTAACTCTGTGTTATACTATTTCTGAAAACAGTGAAATACAATGTTCAAACACATACTCAATGTAACTAATTTTGTTAAATGTTAACAATGTTAAATTCAATGAAATACAGTCATCTCTGTGTATCCACTCGTCCCCATCCACAGATTCAACCAATCTCAGATTAAAATATTTTGGGGAAAAACAATAAAAAATAAAAATATAATAATAAAAAATTATACAATAAAAAATACAGTATCACAACTATCTACACATTAATAGCATTTACATTGTATTAGGTATTATAAGTAATCTAGAGTGACTTAAAGTATATAGGAGGATGTTCATAAATTATATGGAAATACTATGCCATTTTATATCAGGGGACATGAGCAAGCGAGGATTTTAGTACCCTGGTAGAGGGAGATCCTGGAATCAATCCACTGTGGATGATGGCGGACTGCTGTATTAGGATCTTAAGGGTGCCTTTTAATTAATTTTGAGGACAGCATATCAAGACACACAGAGCAACAGCATCATTTCTCAGAAATTTCCCTCGTGCTGCTTTTCAGCCATTTCCCTACCATTACTCTGTCTATATATGGACAGATCAATGATCTGATTTCTATTACCACAGATCAGTTTTAACTATTCTAGAATATCACATGAATGGAATCATACAATATGTAATTTTTGTGTCGAGTTTCTTTCACTAAAATGATAGATTTTGAGATTAATTCAGGTAGTTGAATGCACCAGTAGTTTATATCTTTTTATTGCTTGGTATTCCACTGAATGATATACTACAGCCCATTTATCCATTCTCCTATTGAAGAACATCTGGGTTGCTTTCAGTTATTGTCAGGAAATTATAATTGGGTATTTATGAATAAAGCTGCTGTAAATATTCTTGCAAAACATTTTTGTGCACATGTTTGTATTTCTTTTGGATAACTACCTAGCAATAGAATTACTGAGTCTTAAGGTAAGAATTATTATTGTTGGTGGTGTTTTTATTTGTATTCTCTAGTTGCAGGAATTTTTAATGTATTTTGGGTACAAATATTTTATCAGATATATGTGTAGCAATATTTTTTCTCAGACTATGTTCTTTTTGTTTTGTTTCTTTTTTGTTCTTTTGAGACAAGGTCTCATTCTGTCACCTGGGTTAGAGTGAAGTAGTGTCATCATAGCTCACTGTAACCTCAAATTTCTGGGCTCAGGCAATCCTTCTGCCTCAGCTTCCCAAAGTGATAGGATTACAGGTGTGAGCCACCACACCCAGCCGTTAGTCCATTTTCTTGATGGTGCTTTTTTTCGATGAGAAGTTTTTCTTTTGATAAGGTCAATTTTTTTCTTTTATGATTTTTTATTTCTGTGTCATTTCTAAAAAGTATTCTACTTAAAGGTTGTAAAGATATTCTCCTAAGTTTTCTTTAAGTTTCTATTTTTATAAATTCTTAAATTTTATTTTACATTTAGTTTGATTATTTTACACGTGGTGTGAAGTAGAGATTGAGGTTCTTTTTATTTTTGCATATAGTGTGATTTTTCTCTCTTGAGCTGTAAGTGTGGTGAGATACACTGATTTTCACATGTTAAGCCAACCTTGCATTTCTGGGAAAAGTCAGACTTGATTATGGTATATTAAAGTTTTTATAAGTTGCTGGATTTTATT